AGGTTGCAAATGTGGCATGCGCAAGGCACCCACGGGATCTGTCGTATTTCAGGGTCTGGATGCTTTGCAAGGATGTTCCTAGCAGAGATGTTGACATGTGCAGAGTCGGTGCATATTGCGTTGATGTTCTTCACACCCAACTCCCTGATCACCCCCTCCCACATCTTAGCCAAGGCTGGTGCTGACTTGTCCTTCCCTTCCATATCCATGCTCTTCACCATCACTGCACCCTTGTCTCCTCCGGCGAGGAAGTTGATCACCGGCCTGTTGCTGGTTGTGGTTGTGCCATCCGTCATGAGAGTGTATCCAGTTTTAGGCCATGTGGACCTGATCTCATCCATGTCGGTGTCAGTCTTCTTGTAGCTTCCCTGCAGCTCGTCAATCCTCAATGTGTCGTAAGATGGCAGCGTCAGCACTTTCTTTGCCCTGGCTGTGTCACCCATGACCTTCTCAACTTTTTTGTAGGCATCAGAGCGCGCTGCATTGAACGCAATTGCATTTTCATAGAAGAATTGTGCAACCGCGTGATTCATCTCCCTCTGCAGCTCATCGACCAAGTAGCTGGTCATCGATGTCTGTTGCCTGGAAGCATTGCTGCTTGGAGGTCGCGGTGGGAGATCCGCTGCTGCACCATCGCCTACAGGTGTTGGCTCAAGCCTGCTGCCCTCCGCTGACGGCACATCCCCAAAAGGATCCTCCTTACAACCATCCTCGCCGAACTCATCCTCCTGGCCCATTCCTGTCGGTGTTGAGGACGGGTACCCAAGCTCCCGCATGTGGGCATCCAGTCTGCTCAACACTTTCTGCGGGATCTTGCCCTTTCCTTGTGCCTTGTAAACGGCGTACAAAATCTCCCCGTTGACATGCTTGCACCGGGCGCCATCTGATGGTTGGATGAAATGATTGACGGCCCGATTCACGGCCCCATCAAGCTCCTTGGAGCACAACCTGCACTGCATCCTCCATGACCCATTTGCCCTGCCAACGTTCTTCTGCCCCCGGTCGACCCATTGCCATATGCCGTGCTTGAGCAACAACTCTTCCCTCTCGTCTCCTTCCACAGCCCTGAACGGCTCCCTCGCCCTGCCGCCCTGACCCGCTGACATCGTGCCTTTAAAATAGAGGAGGGAGATGAAGAGGAGGAGGAGGAAGAAGAAGAGGAAGAAGAAGACGAAGAGATGGAGGGGGGGGGAGGGGGGGGGAATTCGTTGCAGGCCCCGCAGGCTGCTTTCCAACTTTGGAAAACAAAAAAAAATTGTAACAGGCCCCTGTCGCTGCTTTCTTGTTAAAAAAAGAAAACAATAAAAAAAACTTGACTTCACACACCAACAATGTTCGACTTTCCAACTACATTGTCAAACTACAGCTAACGCTGGACATGGAGAAGAAGAAGAGGAGGAGAGGAGGAGGAAGAAGAAGAAGAGGAGGGGCGGAGGAGGAAGAGGGAGGAGAAGAGGAAGTAGAAGAGAGACTTAGAGAGGAGAGATGGAGAAGGTGGAGAAGGTGGAGAAGGTGGGGAAGGTAGAGAAGAGGAGGAGAGGAGAAGGAAGAAGAAGAAAACGAGGAGGAGGAAGAATAGGAATATTAGAGGTACGAAACCCTAACGAAATTTCAGAACCGTGCTTTCGGAGGGGACGGGAAGAAAACGAGGAGGAAGAATACAAAGGTTAGCGGTACCAAACCCTAACGAAATTTCAAGAACCGAGCTTTCAGTGGGAACGGGAAGAAGACGACGAGAAAAAAAAAAGAAAAAACGATTTTCCAAGCGGGAGAGGAGGAAGAAGAAGAAGAGAAGGAGAGGAGGAAAAAGAAGAAGAGGATTGGAGGAAGAAGAACAAGAGGAGGAGCGAAGGGCAAAAAAGAAGAGGACTGGAGGAAGAAGAAGAAGAGGAGAGAAAGAGGAAGAAGAAGAAGAGGAGAAGAGGAGAAGAGGAGAAGTGGAAGAAGAAGAGAGAGAGAGAGAGAGAGAGAGAGAGAGAGAGAGAGAGAGAGAGAGAGAGAGAGAAGAGAGGAGGAGGAGAAGAAGAAATGGAGAGGAGAAGGACGAAGAAAAAGAGGAAGAACACACGGTGAAGGAGAAGAAGAGGAGGGGGAAAAAAAATCGGGCCAGGTCTTCCCAATGACATTGTACTTCCTGTGTCAAGGCAGGGGCGTCAACACGAAGTAGAGATATGGAGGGGCGGCTTCATCAGGTGCGGCGGTGCAGGCGCAGCTTCAACCCAAGGTGCAGCTGGAGACATTCGCTCCACTCTGCGGAACTCCATCGGAAGGCCCTGCCGATGGTCGGGAAGGCCGACGGCGCGCTACCGTGCACCCCGCAGAAAAAAGAAAAAAAAATTGGCGGGGCCTGCTGGGCCGGTAGTGCGCCGTCGGCCTTCCCGACCGACTTCTACGGTAGAAGTCCGTCGGGAAGGCCGGGGGCTCACTACCGGCCCAGCAGGCCCCGCCAAATTTTTTTCTTTTTCTTCTGCGGGGTGCCTACCAGTCGCCGACCGGTCGGCGCCGACAGCGCCTACCGTCGGCTCGTCGGCCGCCGACGGGTCCAGGGCCACCGACCGTCGGCGTGACTACCCTGGCATATGCTCTGTTTGAGGGAAATTATTCCCTCCAATCTGGGCGTTATCAAAAAAGATGATTTGTCAGCCGATCGTAAATACAAAACGAACTTTAGTTGATTTTATTTTTAATTTTAATCTTAATTTTTCAAGGATTTATGAAAAAAAAATATTTAAATTTCTAAATTATTTGATACGTTTTATTCTTTTCTAAGAGTTTGGCATGTCAGATTTGCCCGGCGAAGGTCTCAAAATTTCGGACAAAGTCTTCCGAACAGATCCAACCCCGGTGCGCTTCCCCTAAAATAGGTTAGATTTCGAGTTAAATTAAAAAAACAAAACCCTTAATTAATGAATCAAACTTTGAAAAATAGCGAAAATTCACTCGAGCTAGGATTTTTACCCTTGACCGTCTCAAAATTTTACTAACACAGAATCGAACAACTTTACTCTGGACGATCAGTCCCCAAAAGCGGCCGGATCACAAGATATGGTCAACAAAAGACAGAACCCAATCAAAATTTAGGGTTTTGATACCTAGGGTTTTGTAGCGCACGCGCATACAATTTAATTAGCAGATGCCCGTAATACTTCAAATTTTGGATTTAGGAATTAAGTCAAATGGTTACTCGTAAGACATTTGTTTTCAACGGAATAAAAATTTTAATTAACGTTGTTTAACAATTTTTATCAAATTTTAAAGATAATTAGCCAAAATAAAATAAATTTGATAACTTTATATGTACATTTCAATTATATTCGACGCTGGTTCTGCATGGAAGGAGTCTCAATTTTTTGACAAATTTCTTCCGAACAAACTTCCGTTCGACAAGCGTCACCCAGAACCGGTCCGATTTTGAGCAAAAAAAAAAAAAAAAATTCTTAATTAAATATTAAAATTTTAATTACATTCTAAAACTGGATTTTACCCCGACGGTTTTGTCCGCAGTAGATCTCAAAAATTTCAGATCGAAGAACCGTCCAACTTTGGTTTCGATATCTATCAGCCAAAATTGCTCAATTCTGGAGTTACAAATAAAATAAACTTAAAAATTGTACTCAGCCAATTATAGCCCACTAGGGTTTCAAATCGTTAGGGTTTATGTTTTGCCTGCGACCGCACGCACACCGTCAACCCTTTTCGCACGGGGAAACTTGACACACTTATACTTGGGTATATAAACAAACTTTTTCATGGATCATAATTTTTTATTAATACCGTTTTAGTAAAATAAAAAACTATTAAAAAAAACACAAAATAAAAAAATCCTCGGCTACCAGCCGAGCTGCCCGGATCCCGGGTGGCCAGCCCGTGCAAGGAGGTCCCAACAAAAAAAAAAAAAAAAAAAATCCGAAAAAAAACTATGTTATGCAGAACAATAAACTGAACAACTTTTGCCTCAAGGTCACATCGAAATGGTTCACTAAAATTAAAATAAAAAATAAAAATTAAAAATAATTTTTTTATTTTTATTTTTTTGGCCCGGCTGGGCAAGTGACCCCGGGCCACTCTGGTAGCCTAGAAAAAATCAATAATTTAATTCAATTTAACGGGGACTGTCAGGGCGCGCACCGATCGCATCCGATGTCGGTTTTCCCCAAAAATTATCTTAAAGTTTCGAGAAAATTCCCTTGATCAACTTTGCTTCCGTAGGCGCTCACAATTTTTCCGCTCCAATTTAGAGTAAAATAAATAAAAGGTAGAGTAGATTTTCTTAACTAAAAAAACGAACATAAAAATTTGTATCTCGAGCTTCGTGGCACGGTTTTGACCACCGAGGGTATCCAAATTTGTGGAGCGGCGATGCGATCATCTGTCATCCGGGTGTGTGCCTTCCAAAGATGACCGGATCGTGAGTTATAAAAAAAAATGATAATAATTATTCAATCAAATAATCAAATAGCAAATTAATCTGTCCGAATTTTAGGTGCTCTCTTTACTCTCACACCCCCGTTTGATAGGGGAGGCTGAGGCCTTGGGGGTGCTGTCCCCTCCCCGACAACGGCGTCAAGGTTGTCAGGAAACCTGGGGAGGGGTAGGCTGTTGTTCGTTGAGGCCAGTGGCAACAGTGCCTGTCACTCACTGCGCCCACATCACAGGTCCTCAGAGACCAGCAAGCCAATAAAGTCCATGCTGCCTGTCTAGTGTCCCTCTACTCCATGTCGATTGATCATGAAGGTAGCCACTCAAAATTTAGACCAATTATATAAAGTGACAACGCGTTGGGTGCAGATCAGAGATCACCCAAGGCCCCAAACACCGGCCGCTTGGGGGTCTCAAGTTCCCAGATGCCCACTTGTCCAGACTGAAGGTCAACCGGCACTGGTTAGCGTTTCAGCAAATCAACCAGAGCTAGGGAACGCACGCTCATTAAGGAGAATAACCCAGGACAATTAAAAGTCCAATGGCCCGCCTCACGTAATGATCATGTCACAATTCACGGACGGATTCCACTGCTTTCTCATTGCGAATGGTCGTTTTAGGGTTAATATCACCATTTTCATAAACTTGATCTGCCGGAATCCTGATCGGTCAATTCTTCGTTAGTTTAAGCAGACATGGAACACAACAATTTCGAGAGACCTGTGCTATTTCAAGAATGCTTGACCTTCTCTTAGGGGTGATACACTAAATTATGACCTGCAGCTTGGCTGTCGGCGTGGCATCCGAAATCGCCAAGTCGAATTCAAAATAAATTACCCAACAATTCTCGAACAAGAGTACAATTTTAGTGGTAGTGCGCAATTGTGAGCCAGACCAGCCTCCACTTATAACCGAGTTTCCAAAGGGGAAAAAAAATCTTTTGTCTTTTCACCTGTCAGTCGGCCATCTACAGCGCAAGCTACGAGAGAGAATTTTCACCCTCATTTATAAGAAAACCAAAGGGTCCTTTTAACCATACTTTACACCAATCTGTAGAGTGCGCTTCTTACTAACATATTGTAAAAGAAAAACCGAAAAAAAAAAAAAAAACATGATCCCCACTACACTTTTCAGGGTGGTGAAGGTTACCCTAGGGGTGAAAAGTGAGGGTACTTGTTAACCATTCGTGAAGGGTTAGCAGATCCTAGCGTGAGAGACTACTGAACATCATTCTCGTTTCAGCTGATTATCAATTTATCCGCCGGGTTACATGGAGTCCGTCACTTACAAATTTCGTCGGCGATGAAGAAGCCGCCCTTGTTTGGCCAACGAGCCCAATGTGAGAGTCTGCCTTTGCAGGTCACTTTTCATGCTCTCGTCATTCTCAACCACAACCCAATGGGAGTCGGGACTGTGCTCGATCACCGTGCTGTGGATCGCGGTGTAGTTCCGTATGCTGCTCAACAATGCCGAAACGTCTTCTAAATATCAATCCCAACAGCCAATGCGTACGTTCTGGTGTCACCTCGAGTCGTATGCGTCGTATCTTTGATTGATTGCCCGTGGAGGTAATCACAACCGGCTATCTGCGACCGTATCGTAAAACGAAGTGAAGCTCTCCTCGTTTCTCTCGACCCCGGCAATCAAAAACCTGCAGACCCGCAGTTTCGAGGCCTTTCCTCCTGCTTTGCTACGTACGAGCGTATGCCCCTCCCCCACGTGGCCGCCTCTGAGATCTCACTGCTCCTGTCCAGCGCGAGTCAGGATTCAGGAAGTGATTGGCCTCAACCGCTAGCTTAAGCCCTCCCTTTCTCTCTCTCACCTTTTCTCTCCTTCACGCTCTCACGACCCCTCTCTTATATGTTACCCACTCTCTTTTCTGCTGCTCGTATCTTCGAGTTCTCAGCCTCGGT